TCACCAATACACAATATATCCATAAAACTGCACTGGTACCCCTTAAATGTATACTTTTATTTTAAAAATGGAGTTAAATATAAGACCCGACATGACAAAACTGATAGAAGAAAACATAGGGATAAAATTTCTTGACATTGGTCTTGGCAATGATTTCTTGGATATGACACCAAAAGCATGGGTAATACAAGCAAATATGAAGTGGTACTATATCAAACTAAAAAGCTTCTACACAGCAAAGAAAGCAATCAACAGAGTGAAAGGGCAACCTACGGAATGGGATAATACATTTTCAAATCATATATATAACAAAGGATTAGTATGCAAAATATATAAGGATATCCTGCAACTCAATGATGAAAAATAAACACTAAAAGTCCAGACCTTATCTCTATGCAATATATGGGTGTATAAAACTGACACTTGTATATCCTAAATATCTTTAAATAAATAAATAAATAAATAGGCAACAGAGCTGAAAAAAATATTTTTTTTATTGAAAGAAGACATACAAATCACCAACAGGTTTATGAAAAAACATGTTCAACATCACTAATCATCAGGGAAATGCAAATCAAAATCATAATGAGATGTCACCTCACACTTGTTAATAGGACTATCATTTTTTTTAAATATAAGAAATGTTGGTGAAAATGTGTATTAAGAGGACATTTGCACAATATTGGTGAGAATGTAAACAGTTTAGCCAGTATGGAAAACAGTATTTTGGTTTCTTAAATAATTAAAAATAGAACTACCATACCATGAAACGATCCCACTTCTGAATATATATGAGAGGTAAAATCAGAATCTCAAAGAAATATCTGCACTCCTATGTTCATTTCTGCTTTATTAACAATAGCCAACATATGAAAAAACCTAAATGACCAACAATGGATGAATGGATTCAAAAAACCTGGTATTTATATATTATATACAATGGAATATTATTCAGCTTTTAAAAAGAATGAAATCTTGCCATTTGTGACAACATGAATAAACCTGGAGGATGATATGCTAAATGAAATAAGCCAGAAAGACGGATATACACCATGACACCACTTATATGATTAATCTAAAATAGTCAATCTCATGGAAGCAGAGGTTAGAATGGTGGTTGCCATGCACTGGGGAGAGGAGGAAACAGGATGCTATTAGTTGAGATGAGCAAAGTTTCGGATGTACAAGATGAATAAGTCCTAGAGATCTACTGTACAGCATAGTGTCTATAGTTAACAACACTGTATTGTATACTTAAAACTTTGCTAGGAGGGTAGGTCTTATTTTATGTGTTTTTATCACACAAACAACAACAATAATAAAGTAGACAGGCAGACACTTATGGAGGTTTATGATATAGACTATGGTGATGGTCTCATGGATATATATGTAGTCCAATCTCATCAAGTTTATGCATTATATATTTACAGCTTTTGTATCTGAATCATACCTCAGTAAAGTAGTTTTTAAAAAAGAAAATAAATCAAATAACTTAATAAATATGTTTAAATTATAAAAAGAAGAGTATAGAGTACCATAAGGGCTATACATTATGACTTGGTCAATAATTACAGTGACTAGACATTGAGGCAATAATGAAATTAAGTGAACAAGAATAGAAGGCACTGAGTTTACAGAAGTAAATGCTCAGTTATCAGTAAGTGCAAAATGGGGATGTTTTCTCAGTAAAATTGAATCTCTGCCTTTCCCAACCAATTTCAATAATTTAATACATGTAATCTGAACATAATATAAATGTATTATTTTCAGATTCAGTGACTGAAAAGGACAACTTTTATACTTCTAGGTATCTTCTAGGTATATGTGTGGGTTTTTACCTATATTGTAGCACTTTCACTTTTAAAGGCATCTTTTCATTTTCATTTAACTTACTATTTTCTAGTTGTCTGGTGCAAGTTGAAATTTCGATTCCCAAGTAAAATTTAACTAAGTAACTCCTGAATCAGCTTTATGTATTGCCCTTTTTACGAATTATTCCAGACCTGCATTTTGAGAACTTGTGGCCAGGTGATAAAGTGCTATTTTAAATCTATCAGTGTCACACTGAGAAGCTTCCTGAGGATAAGAATTTAATTGAACAGTTGAATAAAAGGCCAAATTGCTATGAAAAATTCATATGAACCAAAACATCTTTTCCACTACTTTCCTATCCTTAACTGTGGTATTATCTGAAGACACAGATATTCAGGTGCTGCACTGAAGACTAAACAAATAGGATTTAAGAGTTTCATAAGCTTAAAGTCACTGCAAATATGTTATAAATTATGGTGATGGTCTCATGGGTACATACTTAACTCCAAGATCATCAAGTTGTATACATTATATATGTACAGATTTTTGTATCTCAATCGTACCTCTACTAAGTAGTTTTCAAAAAATAAAATAAAAAGTCAAATAATAATTTTTTTTTCTGGACCATGAGGCAATACAAAATATATGTTATATAGGCGATACCTCTAAACTTTGAATCAAGTATAAGGAGCTATATAAAAGACAAAACAAAAATTCATGACCGTATGTAGTAAGGGGATCTTATTCTTTAGAGACTTTTTTTTTTTTTTTTAAATCATGTGTGAACTACTATAGGACTTTAACAAATACATCTAGGTTCCATCAGGAAACTTGGACTTCTCCCTATCTTCACCTAAATAACTGACCTATAATGGTTCAATCTGAGACCCAGTTTCCTCATCTGCAAACTGAAAAATTAAACTAGCTCCTAATTTTTTGTATGAATTAAAAATATGTGGGGAGTCTTGCTAATTAATTATCTTAATATCATCATATGAGACAAACATTTTACCATGAATTTTCTTTATCTGTGAGAGGGTTTAGATATTTGTGTACCTTTAGTTTTCAGAGTTCGGAAGCATATATCGTTCACTGGAATCCATTATTTACCCTACAAATAATAAAATACCTATTAATTCAGTAATTACCATAGCCAGGATTCAGTTCTGAGGAGCCAATGTAAATTCTGGAAACTTATTGATACAGTTTTGATTATGAGGCACTCAGTCATGGTAGTCTTAAGCAGGGTCCATTTGTTTAAATCACTGCCATCATATTTTCTGTCTAGACATACCCTTTGGGAGCTGAATGGGTTATTTGGGGGATTGGAATTTTATAAAGCTAAATCAGATGTGGCAAGAAAATCTCTTGGACCATCAGGATAATGTACAAATGTATATCATCAGTTTAGATACTAAGGAAATTTCCCTTCAGATTTTTTCTTTGCCATGATTTAGAGACAATCTAATGTAATGAAAAGTTTTCTTCATTGCGAGTTTTATATGCATCATAGGAATACAGAATGGCAAAATATAACCTTAGTTATTCTACCAAACACACAGTTAGATGGTTTAGCCTGTATTTACCTCCCCTCACATGTTTGATAAGGATTCACCTTACCTCTTAGAATCAGAATCTTCTGACAGTTATGGTTTGTTTGTTGTTGTTGTTGTTGTTGTTTGAACAACCAATGTTTACCTTCTTTTCCTTGAATCACATTTTTATGGCAGGATGAATTTTACTCAATTCTGAAATAATGCTTCAAAATCTACCAGATTTTTCTTTTTTCTTTTTGGCCCATGGTAGCAGTGTACCAGTAGATGATTAGGGACATTATCTAAATATAATTAAGTTGAATTCACTGGACTTTTTGGAGGACATCGTTGGAATATGTATTGTTCCGGTACTTTTAGTACTTGTTTCTTTATATATGGTTGTGTTGTTGTCTGATATAGATTTCCTAGGAGAAATAATTTCAAACGTACATATTCACTTTTTAATCCATGGCCATTCCCCCACACCCCACTTATTTATACCATTATGCTGAGAGCTTTATTTTAATATCTGACTTTTATTAATACAAAAGATTATAACTATACTACAGATGCTGGCTATATAGGTGGCATGCCATGTTTTCATTCATTTGGTTCCTCAGTGTGTAAGTATGAGGCAGACAAAAAGGTAGAAAGAATATCTGAAGTCTTTTCCTTCTTCTCCCCCTCCCCACTAAGCTGATCCTCACAGGCAGGGCAGCCTATCCTTTATAAATGTGCCAGCAAGGATATGCACTAGAAAAGTGTTCCTTTAGATATGCACTAATGAGGATATACACTAAAAGGTGTTTCTTTTAGAATTTCGGAGTGCTCCCACTGACAATGTTGTTTTAGATGGAATTTACTACATAGTGAGTTCTGTCCAAAATAACTGTCCAAAACTCTTAGCAGACAAAAGAATACATTAGCAAGAGTCTTGGAATGTTTTAAACAATTTGCATTTTACTATCTTTGTTTTATTTGTGTTTCAAATTGGGGATCAGATATATGTTGAATATATATTTTTTTAAATTTATAAACTATTCATTGTAGCGTGAAGGAATTATAAGAGTTGAAAGATACATTGTTAAAAATATTAACAAATTCAAGTTACTTTTGTGCTATGCATCATAGCTCTGCAAAATAAACTTATCCAGCTTTCAATTACATTAAGAAATCATCCCCATTTTACAAAGGATCATCCATAGGCCAAACCTCAGTATCATGCAATATTTTCATGTGAAAAACCTGCACTTGTACCCCTAAATCTAAAATAAAAGTTGAAATTGTTAATATAAATAAATAAATAGGCCGGGCGCGGTGGCTCAAGCCTGTAATCCCAGCACTTTGGGAGGCCGAGACGGGCGGATCACGAGGTCAGAAGATCGAGACCATCCTGATTAACACGGTGAAACCCCGTCTCTACTAAAAAATACAAAAAATAAGCCGGGCGAGGTGGCGGGCGCCTGTAGTCCCAGCTACTCGGGAGGCTGAGGCAGGAGAATGGCGTAAACCCGGGAGGCGGAGCTTGCAGTGAGCTGAGATCCGGCCACTGCACTTCAGCCTGGGCGACAGAGCGAGACTCCGTCTCAAAATAAATAAATAAATAAATAAATAAATAAATAAATAAATGGAATGGAATAATTCTGATTTTAGGTATAACAGCTGCAGCAATGGCTGAGGCGATGAAGCTGCAGAAGATGAAGCTTATGGCTATGAACACTCTTCAGGGAAATGGAAGCCAAAATGGGACTGAATCAGAGCCTGATGATCTTAATTCTAACACAGGTGAGTGTTTTCTGGAATCCCAGACAGGTGACTCTTACTGTTTTATTGTGGGGCAGGAGAGAGGCGGGATGAGGATGGAGGAGAGAATGATATGTCTACTTTGGTCATAAAGATACTCAAGAGGGATGCTTAGCCCTATTTCTAGCATTTGTACACTGACATTAGAAAACAGTTACAAGTCTTAATCTCGTTTTGGAAACATTTAGTTATCTTCACTGTTTTGCTGTGGTGGAATTGAATTATAATTGGTATAGTGCTAGCCATTGTGCTCTCTGCCTGACAAAGACTGCTGCACTCTAGCATCACCCCAGGTTTCTTACTCCATCCTATTCTAAATAATTTACCACTGAAAGGCAATGCTGACAGTCCAGGTTGGCTGGGCTGAAGTCTTTTCAGCTGGAGTACCATTTCCTTAGATAAAGGAAAGTGCTGGGTGACTCCAGGCATTATCGACAGGGATTAATGAAAAGGGGTAGAACAGGGAGCAGGCAAAGAAGAAAAGATGGATGAAAGGAAAAGAAAACAGAGGTGACTTGTAGAGTGGAAAGTCCTCTCCTCTCATGTTACTTGTTTCTTTCTTTTACCCCGTGATCATTTTACCTTGGCCTTGATCATAAGACCCCTCAGATCTCTTTTGAAGGTAGGTGGGATTATAACTATCAACACACATGAATGAATGGATGGACGGGTGGAAAGATGGATGGATGGATAAGTGGAAGGATGGACACATAAATAAAGGGAAGATTTAAGAAGTATCCAATTTTAATTTAGATTTAGGAGTACATGTGCAGGTTTGTTAAGTAGGTAAATATTTGATTTGGGGTTTTGGTGTACATAGTGATTATTTTGCCACTTAGGTACTAAAGATAGTCCCCAATAGTTTTATTTCTGTTCTGAACTTCTCCCTGCTACCCCCTCTTCCCTCAAATAGGCCCCTTTTTTTCTGTTCATATGTTCTCATCATTTAGCTCCCACTTGTAAGTGAGTACATGCAGTATTTGATTTTATGTTCCTACATCAGTTTGCTATGGATAATGGCCTCACTCCATCCATGTTCCTGCAAAGGAAATGATCTCATTGTTTTTTATTGCTACATAGTATTCCATGGTGCACATTTACCACATTTTCTTTATCCACTCTCTCATTGATGGACATTCAGGTTGATTCCATGTCTTTGCTATTGTGAAAAGTGCTGCAATGAACATATGTGCGCATGTGTCTTAATGGTAGAACAATTTATATTCCTTTGGGTGTATAACCACTAGTGGGATGGTTGGGTCAAATAGTACTTCTGTTTTTAGTTCTTTGAGGAATCACCACACTACTCTCCCTAATGGTTGAGCTAATTTACCCTTCCATCAGCAGTGTATAAACATTCCCCTTTCGCTACAACCTTGCCAGCCTCTCTTATTTTTTGACTTTATAGTAATAGCCATTCTGACTGGTGTGAGATGTTGTCTCATTGTGGTTTTGATTTGAATTTCTCTAATAATCAATGTGTTGACCTTTTGTCATATGCTTCTTGGTCACATGTATATCTTCTTTAAAAAAGTGTCTGTTCATGTACTTTGCCCACATTTGAACAGGGTTGTTTTTTGGTTGCACATTTCTTTAAGTTCCTGGAAAATTATTGATATTAGACCTTTGTCAGATGTATAGACTGCAAATATTTTCTCCCATTCTCTAGTTTGCCTTCTTACTCTGTTGATAGTTTCTTTTGCTGTTCAGAAGCTCTTGACTTTAATTAGTTCCCATTTCTCACGTTTTACTTTTGTTGCAATTGCTTTTGGCATCTTCTTCATGAAATCTTTGCCAGTTCTTATGTCCAAAACGGTATTTCCTAGGTTATCTCTCAAAGTTTTTACAGTTTGAGGTTTTATATTTAGGAATTTAATCCACTTTGAGTTGATTTTTTGTATATGCTGTAAAGAAGGGGTCCAATTTCAGTCTTCTGCATACAGCTAGCCAGTTATACCAGCACCATTTATTGAACAGGGTGTCCTTTTCCCTTGCTTGTTTTTGTCAGCTTTATTAAAGATCAGATGGTTTCAGGTCTGTGACTTTATTTCTGGGTTAGCTATTCTGTAACATTGGTCTATGTATTTGTTTTGTACCTGCAGTATGCAGTTTTGTTTACTGTAGCCGTGTAATATAATTTGAAGGCAAGTAATGTGATGCCTTCAGCTTTCTTCTTTTTGCTTAGGATTGCTTTGGGTATTTGGGATCTTTTTTGGTTCCATATGAATTTTAGAATAATTTTCTCCAGATATGTGAAGAATATTATTGATAGTTTGATAGTAATAGCATTGAATCTGGAAACTGCTTTGGGCAGTATGGCCATTTCAGCAATATTATTTTTCCTATCCAAGAACATGAAATGTTTTTCCATTTGGTAATGAATTGCCTCAGCATTTGCTTGTCTGGAAAGGATCTTATGTCTCCTTCACTTATGAAGCTTAGTTTGGCCGAATATGAATTCTTTTTTTTTTTTTTTTTTTTTTTTTGAGACGGAGTCTCACTCTATCGCTCAGGCTAGAGTGCAGTGGCACGATCTCAGCTCAATACAACCTCTGCCTCCTGGGTTCAAGCAATTCTCCCTGTCTCAGCCTCCCAAGTAACTAAGATTACAAGCGCCCACCACCACGCCTGGCTAATTTTTGTATTTTTAGCAGAGAAGAGGTTTCACCTTGTCGGCCAGACTAGTCTCGAACTCCTGATCTCAGGTGATCCACCTGCCTCGGCATCCCAAAGTGCTGGGATTATAGGTGTGAGCTACCGCGCCCAGTCACGGATATGAAATTCTTGGTTGGAATTTCCTTTCTGTAACAGTGTTGACTATAGGCCCCCAACCTCTTCTGGCTTGTAGGGTTTCTGCTGAGAGATTTGCTGTTATTCTGATGGGCTTCCTTACGTAGGTGACCTGTCCTTTTTCTCTAGCTGCCTTTACCATTTTTTCTTACATGTCAGCCTTGTAGAATCTGATGATTATGTGTCTTGGGGAAAATCTTCATGTGAAGTCCTTGTGGGGGTTTACATAATTCCACATCTCTCAGATATTTTGTTTGTTCCTTTTCATTCTTTTTTCTTTTTTAAAAAATGATCAAAAGACTGAAATTTTGTTAGATAAAGATGCTGTTAGTAGAGGAACATATGGAGGTTCTAGCAATTGTTGCCCGATTGGCTACCAGTGGCAGAGTTGGGTGGTGGTAGCCAAGTTTGGGTCAAAGCAGGACTGCTGGGCCAGAAGCTGGAGCTGAGCCCTGGCTGAAAAGCAGTGGTGGAACAATGTTAATGCTCCCCGGCATTGCAACTGTGGCCTCCATTGGTACTGTGACACCTGTGCTGGTTTGTCCCAGGGTCCAAGACTTGTGGAGGTCCTCTTGGACTTGGGAGTTGCCCCCACAAAACCTTCAGGTGACTCTTTGCCTCAGTCTAAAAGTGTGGTGGAAGGGTGCGGGGGAGCAAGGTGATTCCCCATTCCCAGTCTTACACAGGTCCCTGTGGGGAGCAGGAATCTCCCTGGGGGCTCTCACTCACTCAGCCTTTCCATGTTTGAGAGGTTCTCCTAGCCATTTTAACAATATTGATTCTTTCTATTGAAGAACATGAAATGTTTTTCCATTTGGTAATGAATTCCCTCAGCATTTGCTTGTCTGAAAAGGATCTTATTTCTCCTTTGCTTATGAAGCTTAGTTTGGCTGGATATGAAATCCTATTTTTTTTTTTTTTTTTTTTTTGAGACGGAGTCTCATTCTATCGCCCAGGCTGGAGTGCAGTGGCACGATTTTGGCTCACTACAACCTCTGCCTCCTGGGTTCAAGCAATTCTCCCTGCCTCAACCTCCCAAGTAGCTGAGATTACAGGTGCCCACCACCACACCCGGCTAATTTTTGTACTTTTAGTAGAGAAGGGTTTTCACCATGTTAGCCAGGCTAGTCTCGAACTCCTGACCTCAAGTGATCCACATGCCTCGGCCTCCCAAAGTGCTGGGGTTACAGGTGTGAGCCACCGCACCCAGCTGATATTTTTTAAGATGCTGATATCTAACAGGTTAGTGGCCAGCTTTGTTCCTTTCTGTTCTCTGTTTCTGCCTGCTGCCTTGATGGATCCCTACATGATTTCTCTGTTGATTGGCCTGCACGGCAGTGTTCTCTAGCCCTTTGCTTTCTTCTCCATAAGAGCAGTGCCCATGAACTGCTTCTAGTTCAACATCTTGGCCCTGTCCCCCAAACATTTTTAGAAAAAAAAAAAAAGGCAATTAAAGATAGTTTTAGGATCCAAAGATTTCCAAACTAATTCTGCAATTTAATTCAACATAATGTGATAGGTAAATTGGCAGCAGCTTTACATCTCTTTTTCTAGACTCCTAGAAATTCAATCATGGTGGGGCTTTATTTTTCAGGAAAGTGGTAAGAGCAATTAAAGGGGAAAATTATTGAATGAAACCAGTATGAGAAAGTCCTCTGACTTTAAGACAGTGTAGATCGCCTCATGTAAAGTTACAATTTTCATGGTGAAATACAAGATAAGAACTGCACTTCAACCAGTGCAAACAGTGACTTTTTTCTACATAGCCTGGATGCAATTTACTGGGGAATCAGTGGAAAATGTGTATTTTATTGGGTTCTTGGAAACTGAAAACAACCCATAGATAAGAATAAACAACACTAAACAATAATAATAGCAACAGTAAGAATAGTTATTAGTTACTATGTACTAAGTATCTCACATAATAACTCATTTAATTTTTACCTAAATCTTGAGAAAAAGTACTTTCAATACTCCCATTTTATAGATCAGGAAACAGAAGCACAAAGGTTCAGCCTTGCCCATAATCACAAAGCTAGTAAATTGCAGACCGAAGTTTGAGTCTTGTGTCTAGTTAAATCCAAAGTTTGGTTTTCCCACGTTATGCTTCCTCTTCAGTCTTGGTTTGTAATGAGAATTTGACTTTATCAAAACCGTGGAATTAAAAAAAATGTTAAAATGAAGATACAGTG